GGTGGAGGATGGCAACCCCTAGGAATTCCACAACGACTAATCTTAGAGCTGAACCTGGTGCAACAAAGGGATGGGAGAGGTCACCGGTGAATTATTTAAAGGTGAACGTGGATGCCTCATCAGGACTTGTTGATAGGTATGTAGGCCTGGGTTTTATTGTGCGAGATTATGAAGGCCGATTCGTAGCTGCTAAAAGTATTAAATGTAGAGGGAGTTTTGGTCCACGTGAAGCAGAAGCCATCGCAGTTAAGGAAGCACTTAGTTGGATTAAAAGTAAAGGCTGGAAACAAGTCCTTGTGGAAACAGACTGTAAGGAGGTTGTCGATTCACTTAATAGTACTATCATGGACTGGTCTTACTTTAACTCTATCATTGAAGATTGTAAGCGTCTCCAAATGCTCTGTGCAGGAGACCTTAATTTTTGTTTTACTCCTCGCTCCGGAAACGAGGCAGCGCATTTGTTAGCGCGTAGTAGTTGCAATGATGATGTTGTAGGGGAGTGGTTTGACACACCCCCAAACTTTATTCCTTTGATTTCCTAATTTAATTATTTTGTTTCAAAAAAAAAAAAGTTAAGGATTAATAACAGTAAAAGGAATATCTTAATAGAAATGAGAAAAATTTTTTAAGACGGATGAAAAAAGAAAAAAGAAAAATTTTCCAGAATAGAGGGAGAATATGATGGCTCCGGTCCATTGTTTAACTAAGTATGGTGTACTTCCTCCATCTCAAGTCCATTTAACTCTTTGAATAATGTGTTAAATCTTACTCCCTCCGTCCCATAAAACCTTTCTACTTTCTTTTTTTATACGTCCCACAAAACATTTCTCATTTCTATTAAAAAGCACTTTTACCCCTTACTTTTTCATACTCTAACTATCACATCATGCCTTTTTACTAATAATCTATCCATCAAATCATACTTTTACCCATCACATCAAAGGACATTTTTGGAAATTCAATACCAAAATACACTCCCTTTAAATCCCTCCTAAAAAGCAAAACTCCCATGTTTCATGGGACGGATGGAGTATCTTTTAAAAAGGATTTTATTTGGTATACAAAGAAAAAAGTGCAAATTACATATTTAAAAACATCAAAAGTTTTACAAAACAAGATTTATCACATCATACCTTTTTATTATTCCTTTTGTCCCATAAAACACTTTCTGTTTGGAAAAAAGTGTCTCTTTAAAATGAATACTTTTGATGTTATTTTCTAATTTACTCATCTATTCTACACACTAAAATTGCACTTTTTTTCCAAAAAGGAAGGATTCTATGGGACGTAGGGAGTAATAATTTATCAATCACATCCTACTTTAATTTATTTTTTAAAAGTCAAAATGAAAACATTTTTATGAGAAGGAAGCACTATAACTTTACAAATAATTTACCTTTATACTTTATTTATATAATTTTTTCTTTTGCTTTGGAATTAATTTATTTTAACACGGGGCACATATTTTTTCTTACTGGAGGCAAACGTTTAATTTACCCGTACTAATTTTTAAAAAATATTTATACAGAGTACTATATATTTTGAAAAAGATTGATCACGGGCTCGTCCCCGATATTAATAGTGAAAGGGTCTGTTAGAATATAAATAACCTTACCAAGGCCACTACCATAAGTTTGAGTTAAAAGTGTAAATCATTTTGGAACGGAATAGCATATTGCATTGCAGTCATTATTATGTTAAAGATTCGTTTTGAAATGAATTACGGAGTAATTGAGAGGGATAAATTAATTACTCGTACTTAATAAATTAATAACGAGACATAGTTTCGGCGCTTGCATTATACGTAGTATATGGTGAATTGGTAATGGTGCAGTCAGAAGAAGAGGACGGGCAAGGGGGAAGGAGAAGAAGAAAGAAGAAAGGACTGACCGAGAAGATCAAAGAGAAGCTGCTGCCCGCCGCTGCCGCCGGGAATAAGCTGCATAATAAAAATACTGAACACGATGATGATCAGAAGATGCAGGCACCGGCCAGTCTTTACCCGCAGGGGGCGGCAGGCGCCGCCACGGTGAGCCACAGCAGCGCACCCCTTGCCGGCGATCATCATCATCACGAGAAGAAGAGTGTGATTGAGAGGATCAAAGAGAAACTACCTGGGACCCATCATTGATCATATTTACAGATCAGATTATATGTTACCTAATTAATTATTAAAATGTAATAGTAGTGTGCCCGTCCTTTTGTTGTTAGTTTTTCTTGTTGTTGCTTTTTGTGTGTGGCTTTATATATATAGCTAGTGCAAATATTTCTTATATATAAAGGATATCAATCATATCATGTTGTGCATGTTTTATTTGATGCAAAGGATGTTTATTGGGTTTATACTATGTTGTACGTGTCGTAGTAAAATTATGTGTTCTACCTACTCTCTCTCATTTCCAAAATGTAAAATTTGCACTAAATAAGACTAAAACATAATGACTTTCCCAATGTAAAACTTAAACTTTTTTATTCCCTAAATAGGACTTAATAATGATCTAGTGGGAGGAATAATGTCCAGTAATGATGGACAATGACTACTTGATAATGACCAAAAGTCCTACATTGGGAAATAAAAACATATGGTCCTATTTTAGGATAGTCATTATGTTTTAGTCCTATTTAGGTAAATTTCTCTTCCAAAATACTTTTGCTTTCATTTTTTTCTTATTTTTCCAAAACAGTTTCACTCCATTTTTTAAAATACTTTTGCTTTCATTTTTTTGGTCCTTTCCCAAAACACTTTCTCTTTAAATAAAAACTAACTTTAGTTTTACTCCTTTAGTTTTACTCCTAGTTTATCTTACTTGACTTATATCGTATTTTTCACTAATAATCTACTTATCACATCTTATTTTAACCATCACATCAAAGATAAAATTGGAAAATTAATTATAAATATACACTTCTTATCTCACTTAATTATTAGTCAAAATATGAACTTTATTTAGAAACGTAGGGAGCATTTCCAATACTAGACTTCCAATACTAGACCTATCTTTTTCAAAATTTTAAAGAAGAAGAAAGTGATCATTTGGATGTGATTTTTATAGAGGAGATAATGTTAAAACTAAACAGGGTAGAATTTAAAAAAGTTTAAAAATCTATAAAAATACTATGATTATATTATTTTATCAAATGAGTAATGAAAATAGGCCATCAAAATGAATAAAGTATCCTGTGAATAGTGAATGCAAATATAATTTTTGGACGAGAGAGTAACTTATATGTGAAATAATCTTGAGCATCAATAATTTAAAGAGAGGAAACAATCTTATACTCTGTACCATTTTACTGGGGTAGCTAGCAAATTCTATAGTATATCTAAGATCTACTATAGACCTACATATAAGTAAAATAAATATTTTTTACTTTTTAAATTAGTATATATTTTTTTAAATAAAAAAATAATTTTTTATGTGAGGTCTGCAAAAATAAAATGCACTTTAAGTATTTCTAAGAAGCACTCTTGTGATGTACTCTAACAATCTTACACGAATTAATTATTACAGAGTACGGAGTATATTTCAAATATAATTCATATTTTTTCTGAGTAATGCTAGAGGCACAAATAAACAGTTCACAAAATTCACAAACTTGCTTTTTTAACACTTTCTTAGAAATAAGTTGCACTCAAATAATAAAAGATATTTTAACTTAAAATCTATAAAAAACAAGTTTGTGAACTATATGTTTGTGACTCTAGCATTTTCCATTTTTTCTTTTTCCCATCTCTTCATCATTTTTTTCCAGCCAAAGAGCTTTCCTCGTTCGCGACTGCCTAATCAGAACCCTATGCAGCCGCAAATGCTCCGTGCATTGCCCGCTCTCTCTCTACTGCCACCCAGCTCCGCTGCCATACCCCCCTCACCGCCTTCATGCGGCGGTTCCTCCGTCGCGTCCTGCCGCTATAGTTGCCGCAGGAAGCTCTCGTCTTCCATTTCCTTCTCTTATAGACCCCTCAATCTCTCCACAATTTCCGGTGGAGCTAAACCGATGACTTTAAACTCCGTCGCGCCTTCCGGTGAAACCAGAACCGCAGATTCGGAACCATCTTCCGACGAGCTCGATAGATTTGTCCGCGTTGGAAACAAGATGGCCGACGCTGCCGGAGATGTCATTCGCAATTACTTCCGGAAGAGCTTAGACATCCTTGACAAAGAGGATTTGAGTGAGATCGTGTTCTCAATTATTGTACAATGAGTTCTTCTTTATTACTTATGATGGAACTTTTGGCGATGAGTATAAAGCTGTGATTCAGGTCCTGTTACTATTGCTGATCGAGCTACCGAAGAAGCAATGGTGAAAATAATTCAGGAGAACTTCCCTTCTCACGCAATGTGCGTTTTCAAATGGTTTTCATATTCGTCTGTTAACTTTCTCTGTTACAATCAATTTGATAAACTCATGAGAGCAATGCTAATTACAGCTATGGCGAGGAGAGTGGATGGAAATGTAAAGAGGAGGTGGCCGAATTTGTTTGGGTTTTAGATCCAATAGATGGGACGAAGAGTTTTATTTCTGGTATTTGCTCTCTCGTTTCCCCATTTGAACATTCAAAGATGAATGATTTACGGGAACTGGTTTTGATTTTATTTTATTTTATTTTATTTATTGTGCACAGGGAAGCCCGTTTTTGGAACTCTCATAGCTTTGTTGCATAGAGGTAAACCGGTATGAGTAAGAATACTGTGATTCAACTTTGAAAACAATTCATGACATTTTAATTGCAATGACAACATGCCAATATCAGAAACCTCAAACTAGTTTTGTCTAAGTATTTTGTTTCTATAGTACAACTATGGAATCAGTTTAGGTTGTTAAAATTAATATGTATTTGCATTGTTATGTACTAACTAGTATATATAGTTGCATAATATTTGCTTTCCGTGTATCATTTGCAAGATTCTTGGCATAATTGATCAGCCTGTCTTAAGAGAAAGGTGGATTGGAATAAGTGGGAGGCGTACTACTTTGAATGGGCAAGAAGTTTGTGTGCGAAGTTGTGAAAATCTTTCCCAAGCCTATCTGTAAGTTTCTTTAGTGGGAGAATTGAATACGCCGTATAAGAATTGTATTATGTACTCCGTATTAGGTTCATAATGATACGAGGTTATCTCAGCCGGCGGTACGTCGATCGGGTCGAACTCGTGGACTCCGAAATACTTGGAGGATTATTCCCGATAAATCATGTTCGGAAGACGTGTTCGGAAGACTTAGAATATTATTCTAAGTTATTTACAGTTTTACTTTTATTCATTGTTATTTTTGTTGGTTCATTTCATTGATTTTGTTGACTGATTCCATTCTGTTAGCAGCTTGACCTTTTCTTACGGGTAGAGGGTAGTTAGTTTCCTTTTTTCTAGCTTAGTGGGGAATATGGATGTTAGCAGCAGCTCCTGCGTGAGCAATACCCTTTCTGCTGCCTATTTATATATGTTTTTTCCTTCATAAATGGTAGAGAATTAAAACCCAAACAGAACTCCCTTCCAATCTTGCACAAAGGCTGCGTCAACCAGCTTTCCTGTTGGCAAATTATCTACTTTAATCTCATTGCTGGAGTGTGTATCGGCTCGAAGCGATACCCGTTAAGTCATATCTTAACATTTTGGTGCTCTTGTTGAGAGAATGGCGGCAACACCACCTGATCCCAATTCCACGGCGGCTCTTGCGGCAGCCATGGAAAAGAAACTTTCAGAGATGTTCTGGGA